GCCCTCGGGGGGGCTCCAGACCCTTAGCAGGTCGGGCCCCGCCAGCCCCGCCAGCCCCGCCAGCCAGCCTCGCCTGTGCAGCGCGGCGCGGCGTGGGTAGTTGCTAGGCCGGCGCAGGGGCGAGTGCTGCCGTGCTGCCCTCGAGCCGCGAACGGTTTCGCCTCTAGTTTGGCCGGGCCGCTGCTGGCCGGGGGCTGGCCGGGGGTTGGCCGCAGATGGCTGCAGAGCGATGCCGTCCGAAGGATCGTTTTGTCTCTGTCGCACCCATGGGCCCTTCCGTTGGTGTGGGAGAGAGGCAGAGCGTCGGCCCGCCCTGCTGCCCCTCTTCCTCGCGTAATAGAGCACCCCAGACTTGCTCTCCTCGTCCTTGAGTCCTTGCCGGGGAGCCTGGAAATAAGATCGGCGCGGGGGGCCTTGGAGACGCGTTAGAGCGCGCGTATACCCATGCGCCAGTGCCCCGCCCCGCCCCGCCACGGAGCCCGGGCTAATATTGCCCCGGAGTTCCCGCATCCCGCGCACCCCGCCACGCCCCGCCCCGCCCCGCCACGCCCCATCTCGCGAGCTGGGGCAGAGGCACTTGCATGGCGTAACGCCACCGCCCCGCGCACTGCAAAAGGGGCTCGATCCATCAAACTAGCTCTCTCTCCTTTTGTCACACACACACACACACACACACACACACACACACACACAGCCAGAGGCGCTACTCTCTCACACACACACACGCGCGCGCGGGCGCGGAAAAATTGTATGGTGGCAGCAAAGTACATAGCCCAGCAGCGACATAAAAAGGCGGTGCCGCACGTTGTTGTTGCCGCTGTTGTTGTTTTGTTTCATGCCGCAGTGTGCCCAGGTGGCGCCACCCTCCCCCTCCCCACCATTCCCCGCCGGACCACAACTTGCCGTGGTCAGCTCCAACTTTACTAATTTAACGATGGCGCCGCGCCGCGGTGCTCTCCAATGCCGATACTGCACACCTGCTGCCGGTGCTGTAGACTGATTCCGAGAGTCGTTGTCGTCGCTCTGTCTCTCTCGCACCTCTACGGGACGCGGCGTGAGTGCGAGAGAGGCAGAGCGACGAAGACGACTCTCGGAATGAGTCTGCTGCTGTAGCTGACCCCCGAGCGACCGGCCGCGCGCCGCAGCGTCCCGTCGACGCGGTGGACACGCCGTCTGCACGCTCTTGTTTGAGTAATGAATGCTGCCCCCGAAGCCCGCCCTGGTGGAAGGGCTGAGGTGCCCCGCCCCGCCCCGCCCCGCCCCGCCCCGCCCCCTCGCCACTCGGCACGCCGCGCTAAACAACCCCGTCCCTTTCGTAATTTCTCCGGCCGGCGGCGCCACGCGGACTCAGGGCCTCTGGGCTCGCGCTGCCTGGCCTGGCGCAGCCCGGCCCGCTATAAACCCAGCAAGTTAAGACGTTATGTCCAATTAGCCGACTCAGCGGGCGGGGCGGGGCGCGGCGGGGCGCGGCGGGGCGCGGCGGCAACCCGCGGTGCTGCCCTGCACTGGGAAGGCGCGGGGCTGCCTACCCGCACGGCGCTCTGTCTCAGCTATTGCTGTCCGCCAGAGCGATGCAGCGCCGTCCTTTACCGCGAGGCCTCCGTCTTCAGCGTCGCCTTCCCGCTGGGAATGCCCCTTCCCGCTGAGCAGACAGACACAGACAGACAGACAGACAGACAGACAGACAGACAGCGAAATATCGAGGAATCCGAGTCCCCCGATGATGAAATAGCTGCCTCTCGAATGCGATAATCGAACGTCCTGCGACGAGACGACACGGACAAAAGCCCCGCACATTTTGCCGTCATTTTCCACCACTTGCCTCGTTTATTTATTTTGTGTGATCCGCCGCTCCGTTTAGAAACCCTCCTTTTTCGCGCTGCCTGTGTAGATGACTACGGCATGCTTCATTGCTTCGTCCCATCCCTCTCCCCCTTTTCCTATGGCACACGTGTGCACCCGTTCACACACACACACACACACACACATTCACAATAACATTGCTCGCCGAGCTTGGAGTCTGTTGCCAGCCAAACGCAATTCTTCCGCGCATCTCTGTGCGCTGCGTCTCCGTCGCCTCTCGCTGCTCTCGCTCGACTGGCCGAATCAGTTCAATTTGTGCCGCGTGCCCTACCCCCTCTCCCTCTCCCTTTTTGTCTTTCTGCGTTTGCTCTTGTTTCACCGTGGTGGTGGTGTTGGTGGGGCGAGGGGGTCGCGCAGAGCTTTTGAAACCAGGACGAGAGTCCTTCAGCTGCCCGACCCCGTAATATACGCAAAGTGGGCGCAACTTGTACTTCGGTCCGGGTGTGGGGGCGTCGGGGGGCGCGTCCAGCATATGGCGGCCCGGCGCCCTAGCCGTCTGGGGCGGGGCGGGGCGGCGTCGGCTCGCTTTTCAAAGGCTGCTTCATCACTCCGCCAGTGAATACATTAAGGGGCCTCATCAGGCGGCCTCTGCCTCATGACTATTTCACCAGAAGTGTCCCTCCAACTTGGGCGTGGCCGGGCCGGGACGGGACGGGACGGGACGGCCCGAGGACGGGGTGCCCGACGATCATCCGGACCAGCGGGGACCTTTTGACCGGTCAGTGGGTTAACTCCGCCACTGCCGCGACGCGTGCAAAACGAGCTGGCTGGCTGCCTGGCTGGCTGGCTGGCTAGCCGGCTCGACCGGAAGCCCGTAGACCGGAAACAAAGCCCAGCCTTTCCGAACGGGCCTCTACGTCCCCGGCGTCGGCTGTCCGCCGCAGGCCGCGGGCCGAGCCGCTGGCGGTGCGAGAGAGAGAGAGAGAGAGAGAGACGACCACCGCCGCGCCCAGAGGGCCGAGAATCCCACCCCCGCCAGGAGCGGCCCGCGCCTCCTTTGTAAACATGCAAACAATCGGCTTGCGCCCCCCCCCCCCCGCCTCCTCTTTTTCTACCCCTTCTTTAGTTGTTGTTTTTTGTCGGGACCTGCACCGTTCGAACTTGCGATTGAATGCGGACGGCAGAGCCTGCAGAGCGAAGCTACTTCGCTGCCAACGGAACGGTACAGCAGCGCCGCATCTGTCCTTGTTTTGTTTTCGTTTTTTTTTTTCGGTCGTCGGTCCCGTCCGCTCCTCGAGACGTCTCGGTGCGCCGTGGTGCGCCACTGCCTCGCGGCCCAGTGCCCTGGCAGCCCCGCCATCCCCGCCATGGGTCATCCGCATCAGGGCCCCCCCCCCCCCTCCCCCGTGATCCTTTGTCTCTTTGCTGCGACCCGTGATTTGTCGGGTCGTTCCTTCACGCCGCAAGGACGCCCCCCACCCCATCATGGAGTACACTGGAAGCAAGGACGCTCCCCCGGATAAGCCTAATCCAATGTGGCGAGACACTTTCTTGAGACTGTGCCAATGCCCAAATGCCGCGCCATGCTGTGCGTGTGTGTGTGTGCTTGTGTGTGTGTGACCTCGCCGTTGCGTTGCCCAGCCCACTCCCTGCTACCCTTCTTCATGAGGGTTGGAAGCAGGCCCCCCGCCGCACCCCCCGCTGTGTCGTGTCCCCGAGGGGGGGGGGACCCCCGTCGCCTGTGTCCTGCCGTCCTCGGCCGAGTCCTCGGCCCCCTCGCGCTCTTTGGCGAGTCAGCACGCCTGCAGGGTTAGGCAGCCCGCATGAGTGTGTGTCTGTGTGTCTGCCACTCCCCGCTCACTGGATAATTGTACCTGGAACAGAAAAGAGGGACGAACACGGCATCTCAGTCGGCCCCGGATGACCATGTAATGTATCGTCTGGCTCAGGGAGCCCTCTCGGTGGACAGAAAAACATCCCCAGCGTTTGCCCAGAGTTGGTGCAGCCACCGGCAGTCATTTTCTGCCCCGCTGTCCTCCTTTTTATTAATGTCCAGAAACTTGGCCGGGAATTGTTGCCAACAAACGGCGGGCGTGCCTCGTGGTGGTTTGGCGGGGCGCTTAGCGCGGTACTTAGCGGTCGCAGCCCCCCCCCCCTCCCACCGTCGTCTGTTTCCCCTCCGTCGCGCGGGAAATTCAAACGCCGCCTGTCGGCTGATGCGATTTGTCGCTGATAACTTTAGGCGCGATGGATGGGGTGGAGGATGGCGGCATGCCACCCGTGGGGGTGGGGGAGGGGTGGGGGAGGGGTGGGGGTGCTAAGGGCCCCCCAAACGACAGACCTCGAATCAGACACATCAAGAGTCTAGGACTCTGTGTTTGTTCTTTGCCAACTGGCGGGCCGGCCACGACGAGCGCCCGGCCTGGGAGGCCATCCCGCGGCACGCCCGTGCTCGGCGGCCGTGCCTACAGCCCGCCCCGCAGGCGCTCTGTGGTGGTCCTCCATTTTCGTCGAACAAAGCAACAAAGCCAAGGCTAACACCATGGTTTTCCCGCGTTTCGGGCAAAAATATTAAAATTGTCAAATTAAGGTGTGTTGTCTTGGAGCACTCTGGTTGCGCGCCGGGGGGGCTGGGCGGGCGGGGGCCTCAAAGTGCTGCACCGCGGCTGAGGGGGCGAGGCAAGGTGAGGCCTGCGGATCGTTGGATCGTTTATCCAGCCGCCAGGTAAAGTTTGGGCGAGAAACTGGAACTCGAGACTGCCTGTCCGTGGATGCGCCCTGGCAGCACTGAGCAGCCCAAGCCAGGCCAAGCGAGGCCCTCAAGGTGAGCGAGCCTGGCAGATAGGTTCGGAGGGGCGCTGCTAACTTAGCAGGCCGGGCCTGGCTGCGCTCTGCGCCTGGCTGGGTGAGGGTGACAGGGCCGGTCAGGGGCGTGGCGCGAGGCCTAGTCAGCGAAATAACTTGGCATCGGGCCTGAGCCCCCCTCCTCCCTCCCTCCCTCTGTACTCCCTCTCCACCCCCTCTCCACCCTGCACCAAGGCGCCGAGTCCGCTCCATGGCAGCCTAGATTCTACACTGCCAAAAGCTCGACTCGGTTTCACCCCCGCGGGTATTTGAACCCGCGGCCGCTGGTCAGACCGCGTGCGCACTGTGCGCTCGGCCGGCGGCTCATGTCGGTGTTGTTTGTTGTGTTGCAGGCGTCGGCATCGTGCTGGTCACCGTGTCGGGCGTGGCGTGGCGGCTCACCTCGCACGACGCGCCCTCGTGCCGGGTCATGCTGGGCATGGCGAGTGGCGACGAGGCGGCGTCCGAGCCCAACCGCCGGTTCGTCCCGAGGCTGCCACCATCCTACGGCCGTCCGCACCACCCCTATGCAGGTCAGCAGTAGTGTGAGCGTCTCTGGCGGCCCGCCCGCGCCCCGCGCCCCACGGCCCACGGCCTCTAACCCTGCCTTGCTCTGCTCTTGCAGCCATGATGTACCCGGAGTTCCAGTACCGGCCGCCGCCGCCGTCCTACCAGGCGTCCATGCAGGAGTACCGACTGCGGCTGCTGCTGCTCGACAGGCACCCGGGCGCCGGCGTCGCCGGGGTCGCGGCCCCCGCGCAGTCCTCGGCCGTGTCGCCGCCGCCCACGTACCGGTCTCACGCCGGCAGCCTCCTCAGGTCGGTGTGCCTCACTCAAATCTCCGCCAAAGTCCAAGGTTGGCCTGTTTCGCACGAACTTGTCTGATGGTTCCACCTGTCTGTTGCAGGGCGCCGTTGGGATGCCGACGGGAGGTGGCCGCGTCGGAGTACAGCCGTCCACCGAGCTACCGGTCCAGGACCTCGTCCACGAGGCCTTCCCTGGAGCCGGGCGGGGGCGGCGGCTCTGGTGGCGGCGGTCTGGCGGGCAGCCTGGCGGGTGCGCTGGCGGGCGCGCTGGGGGCCGCGGGGCTGCACTCCAGGACGGGCTCCGTGGGCACGGACCACTCGCTGTCGCTCTCGGACGTCGGCACCATCGGCACGTGCCCGCCGCAACCAGTGTCGGTCATCAACGTCGGCGGCGACACAGGCGACAGCGTCAAGCGCGACCCGGACTCCGTGCAGGAGGTAACGCACTGGCCTGGCACTCTGGCTCTGGCATGCCTCTTCCTATCCCTGCTCCGACAGCTGATTGTGACTTCTGCTTGTGCAGGTCTTCGCCATGACGGGCGGCGATCCGGCTGGCTCCACGCTGCAGATGATGCTGCGAAAGGGTGACAGCGGATCCCCTACGAAAGATGCAAACCTAGTCACCATTGTACAGACGAGTAGCACGGGCAGCACCCTGCCGCGTGTCCTCCCCCACCCCCATCGGCCCCATCGGCCCTCGCAGGACCCGGCCGCCCCCGTCATCGTGACGGTGTCGGGCTCCACCACCACGTCCATGCCCGTGCCCATCTGCCCCGACAACACCGAGATGGAGATCCTCGCGCACCTCTGACGCCGGGCCGGCTGCCGGGACCACCGGTTGCCACCTGAGGCGGCAGCCTCCGAAGGTGCGGGAAGGGCCAGGGCCAGGGTTGTCAGGAGCCGGAAGAAACCAACGACTTCTCTCAGAGAGTTGAAATTTTTGGCAGACTTAGACTTTTCCGCTTGGGAGCGCTGTCTGCCGTGGATTCAAGTCATGGATGGAAGTTGACAGTTTTTGCTTCCTGTTGTGACGGCTCACCAGCTCTTTCTTTCAGTATTTTTTTAACAGATGCAAAAGAAATACTTAACCAGTATTTTGAATAAAGCTGCAGCGCATTATGTTGCGCGGGTAAAACAATTATTTTGGTTTAGTCATACTAAGCTGGCTTAGTGATCAAAGTGACCATATCATCAATGTATTTTAAGACTCTGTATCCATATTGCTATTATTAAGGCTTCCCAAACCTTGTCTTATGTGGCTATTATTTAATGACATACTTGGCTGACAGGAGAAAATGAATTTTGTTGAATTTAAGAGAACGCCATATTTTAAATTTATTGCTCTAGAAATTCTTACCATCAGTTCAATTAATTGCCTCATCTGTGAGTTGCTGCTGAGCTTGTACCCTGTTTTCTTTCTAGGAAGCAAATCTAAAAGTGCAACATTTGCAAAAGGCAATTTAAAAGGCAGAAAACTTGGAGTTAAAGCAATTTATTGCTCCTCATTGTGTGCCATTCCAGTTTCTTGTCAGTTTAAATTTCTGCTCATTCTGCATTTCTGGCTAAACTTGATGTGAATGAATACTGTTTCATTGCCATGTTTTACCATCGGGTGAAATTATGCAACTCATTGATTCAAAGCATTTCATTGTTTCTTACAGCCATCATGCAGTCATTATTGTACTCGATTGAGTTTTTGTCTCAAGTTGACTTGAGCATTGTCTTATATTAAGACGGTACCTTGTACACAACAGTGTCATAGGGAGTTGTTAATTCGAAAGTAGCATGTAATTCATGTTGTATGAAGTCAAATGTCTATCCCTTTGTAAGTTGATTATTTTCCTAATTCAAAATCCTTCATTGTTCTTTTTTTTTGTTTTCCCCCTTTTAATTTTGATTGCCTCATAGATTTTCTTCTTGACTATCCTAACTTTACTTGTTCATTGCCAGAGTTTCTAAGGATTTCCCAAATGATCTACGGTGCCAGTGCTCTAAGGCACACCATGTTACCTGAATCATAGATAGTTAATTGTTAATATTGTTTTTATGTATACAGAGACAATTCAATTTGGAAGTTGTTTTTGTTATTGTTGTTTGTTTTTCCCAGTTTTTGGCTTCTGAATTATTTGATGTTCCTTCATGAGAAGTGGCTCTGATTGTCTTAAGTGATTCCAACCATTCTTCTGAATTTGACATTTAGATGCCTACCATTCCATCAGTCTGTACTGTCCTCGAGAAAGCATGTCAATCAAATAAGAACATTCGAATGCTCTGACCACCAAATCCTGTTGATCATCTCAATGTGTAAATATGTACTCTAGTGTGTATGAGATTCAAGGTGCCGCCTAAAATTGGCAGTTCCTGCTCAAAGTGCTGAATAGCTCTTGTGAAGCCCATAAGAGTTAAATGTGTGTTCCTTTAAAATGAGAAAGAAGAATTATAATATAAATGGTGATATGTAGAAAGAGATGTTCTATTCATAGAGAAAATAAAACTTTATGTTTTTTTAATCAGCATATGTATTATTTTCAAATTTATAGGTATGAAACATGGATTTTAAAACTACACACATACAGTGTGTTTGTAATTAATTTTAATCTTAAAGATTGTTGTGCACTCCACGAAACATAACAAACGAGAGCTCACCCTTTCCCTTTCTTTCTGATTCAGGACACTGTTCTACTTCCATTCAATAATTCTAAACAAAACCAAGTAACAGACTAGACATTTAACAGGCAAAATCTTAAACAGAATTAATATCCGCTCAGCAAACCAAAGTGAGTTGAAAGTACAAACAGCTATATTCATATTTCGAAACTCAAACACTAGTTTATACGTTAGTTAAGGACACTTATAACAAGAAAAATGAAACACTTCAAAACAGCATCAGTCTTGATGCTCACAAAACAGAAAAAACTTTGGAATGTCAAGAGCCAATATTTAATAAAGAAAGAAAATGGCAGTGATAATCAGCTCCTACAGTTGCATTGATAAGATCAATCATTACACATGAGCTTCAACAAAAGTCTGTTAACATTCAAATAACGTTAATAAAACAAGAAGTTTAAAGAAACATCTTCATGAAAATAATTAAGTATTCATGGACAGGGAAGCCCTCAATTAAATGAAAAACAAAGACGAAGTAAGTAGATACCTTAGTCCACAAAGAGTGACATCTACAATGAAGGTCTTGCAACACTTGAATGCTTTGTCATGTTTGTTCCGCAATGTACTTGCAGTGTGTCCAGACTGCAGTTAGTTCACACAGCCTCTTTCAATTCAATGTACAGAACTAAACCAACCATAGCAAGTCGTCAAGTAAAAAGATGCAAAAGAACTAAAAATAAAAAAAGGTGTAGGTAAATACAAAAATTAAAGTCATACTTAAAAATAGTAAAATAGGAGAAGCCTTGAAGAAGTAAGTACTGACACTGGTATAGAAAAAACGTCGAAAAAATTTATTTGCTTATCTTAACATATTCTGATGTAAACAAATCAATGAAATCGCATCAAGTACGATTCTTTTAAAAATAATGAGCGTAAGAACAAAAACTACAACATAAGAATAAAGCTTATACATTGAACAATCTCAATACCTGCAGGAATGTGCATAAAACATTTAACAATGCAACTTCATTTCATAAGCCATGGCACATTTCTGCATGCTGACACATTCTATGTCTTTGTACATTACCAGTGCTTTACTACTTTTGCGACATATTTGCTTCTCTTTGCTAAATCAATCACATAGAGAAAAGGGTACCAAGGAGGATTTTACATCAGTTCATCTTTTTAACTGGGTGGCAGGTCAGGCCAAAGAAGATGCTAAATTCAGCATCTATCAAGAAATTAAACAAGCTAAAGAACCCCTAGTCAGAGAAAAACTAAAATTATTTGGGGGGAGGGGGAATTGAAAAAGTTGTTAAAAAAATTTGAAGACATGATATTTGCAACTTTAGTCGTCATCACTACTGTCACTGTCAGAATCTTCTTCCTTGACAACAGCTTGTGGTGTGTTTTTGTCTTCATCATCAGAATCGTCACTGGAAGAGTCAGAGTCATCACTACTGCTACTGTCACTGCTGCTTTCGCTGCTGCTGCTACTACTGTCACTTGAAGATTCAGACTTTTTATTTTCAGTTTCATTATCCTGAAATCAAAGCAAAGCAGGGAGGGTCATATCATTCATCTCTGCAAGCCCCATCATACGAAATTAATTCATAATAGCTGATAGTAGTTCTATACAGAATTTAAGCATCAATCAAGCATTATGTTTCAAGACAATGCCAGAAGAGAGGCACTAAGATAGTAGTGCTCAGAGGAGAAGATTCCCAAGCCTCTCATGCTCAACTTACACAGCAGTACATAATATATCACTCTAAATGATTTTAGTACAAACCTGACAAAGTTGGTAGATGCAACAAGACTCTTACTACTGCTATGTGAGGCTTCAGGCAATCACAATTTCACTGAAATCAAAGCAGTATCTAGAGACTTGGTACTACTGTGCTCAGATCAGCCACGCATGCCATGCTAATTGAAGTTACAAAGCAAAACCTAACACAATGGCTGACAGAAGTAGAGAAATAAGTAGAGAGCAGTAAATGAGAGAAGACCTTAATTTGAAGGTTTGCAATTCCTTGTCTACCAAAGAAAAAGATCATCCTGGAACCTACTGCCATTTCATGTAAGTTATTACACCACACCAGCATCCAAGTACAGGGCCGCCAGAAGAACTTTCTGGTGTAAGGGGCGAAACTTTAATGAGACATTCATTGAGATGCTTAACTTCAAGGGGAAACACCCAAACAGTTTAGACATGTTTAGTACAGCCAAAAACTCAGCGAGTTAAAAGCAAAAAATTCCCACTTTTCGACTTAAGCATCACTTTTTCCGAGTTCAGAGAAAAATCACATGCTTGAAAAGAATACTTAAGGGATTTGCGATTTGGATATCACTTTACCCTCTTCCCAGCTTAAAACATAACTTTTGCGGCCCAAGAAGGGGACGGCCGACCCTCCTTCAAATTTAGGGAAGAGTGAGTTTCCCCCCTGCACTCCACTTCAAGCACTCTCGTCAAAGTACAAAAGAAAGAAGATAGGACCACAAACCTTAAATATTGTGTGCATAGCGTACCAATCAATTGCCCATTATGAAAATTAATTTGAAATGTTATTCAGTAGAATTAAAAAGTCAAAAGAAAGCAAATAAATTGCAAATAGATAATAGAAAAATTGGGCATGCAATTGAGATTACAGCACACAAAGCAGTATCCACAAAATGACAACAGAATAACCTACTAATCTGTCTACCAGGAATGACTCACCTCATCTGAATCACTATCATTCGCTGGGCTCTCATCATTGTCTTCCTCTTCAGATGATGAACCTTCATCACTATCATCATCAGCACTACTCCTTTGGGCTTCGTTAGCCCTTGCAGACGCTTCAATTTTTTTATTTTGTTTCTGCAGTTCATTGTATTTGGCCACTTCTTCTTCATTCAAAGACTGGAAAGATGAATCACAATTAAGTCAAAGTTGGAAAGTTGACTGCCTAAAAACAGATTTGGAAGTTCAATAAATGCTCACTTTTAAAAACTTCTTGTATTCTTTAATGTACTTGTCTTTTAGCTCTGAAAGTTTCCTTTGAAATTTGGCCTTGTCATTGGCAGGGAGCATATCCCAGAACCTGGGAGCTTCCGTTGCAGATAGTTTTGTGTCGGAAACAAATGATTCAACAAACAAATCGAATGCTTTCCTAAAAATGGCACAGACGAATTTGACATTAACAAAGCCAGCAAGGTTAAAAGTGTAACAAGCGTTCATATATGACAGAGTCCTCAAACACTTACAATGGTGGTTGATGAGGCTCGCCAGGGAAGTATTGTCTTTGCACTTTCTTCACAGATCCCTGGAGAATTAAAGTGTGGTTAGAGCTATATGGAGAAAGCTGGTCTCACAATGTTAATGAAATGTTAACTCAGCAGGTACCTTGGATTTGGTCTTAGCTATCTTTCCATTATTAGCTCTGTCACCTTTCTTCTTAGATTTTAGAGCTCCTGTCAGGGTTTGGGATTTCAAAAGGTACTCCCTGCGTTCATCTTCAGGTAAGCTCTCCATGTAAGCAGCCATATCAATATCATACTGCTCTTTTTCCTGATGAAGTGGTTGCAAAAAGACAAAATTCTGTAAGCACTAGCTAACAACATTCTAAACACAAACATTGGTGTCAGGTTTCAACGTACATGTTTGTATATTTTTTTGTATTCTTCCTTTTCTCCCTCTGGCAATGCATTCCATCTTAATGATATTTCCTTCATTCGTTCTTTTGGTAACTTGTCTTTAAGCTCAGGACATTGCTGAAGCATAACTCGGGTGTACACCACGTAACCTGAGCTGGCAGGCTTTTGTGGTATTCCTTTAGATCTATAACCAAATAACCGATGATAAATCATCAACTTAATAAAGATGCACCAAAAGCTTCCAATAGAATCTTACCTTCTCAGTAATTCCAATTCATCTTTTCTTAAAACAGTTTTTATTAACGGCACCTTAAACTCAGGATTCTCAGACACATGTAATTTTAACTTTTCCTGAAAGCAAGCCAAATAATAAAAATTCAACAATAAGCAGAGAAATGGTTTGTTCTACAATAATAAGTTGCAGGACAAATACTTACAATAAACTTATTTTCTTCTTCGACAGCTCGCTTTATCCACACTAGTTTTTTCTTATCGGAGAGAGTTTCCCACAATTGACCTGCTTTAGACTTTGCTTCACTGGGAATATAGGAGGGCTCGTTTCGCACTTTGTCGCAACAATCATTAATAAACATCTACAAAAAAAAAAAATGTTTGGAGTTAAAGCACACACACATTGTAAAAAACATTCCATTGGCAGTGGCAAATTACCATCTTGGCTGTAATTGGCTTTGACACCCCTGGAGGCAAATTGTGTTTTGGAGGTTTGGGCACTTTATTACTAGAAGATCGTTGTCTAGCTGCTATCCTAGCCTCTCTTGCCTCTCTTTCAGCTTCAGGGTACTGTTCACTGTTAAGCAAATTTTTAAATGAATGTAATATAAAAGTAGTTAAAAAATCTAAACACAGAAATTCCCTCTCTAGTGGCTTTAATCTTAAAACTTTAAGTCTTACTAGAAAATCCGAAGTTTTTCATCATATTCCTTTTTAAGATCTTCAGCTATCTTTTCATATTTTGCTTTCTTGCTTTTTGGTAAAGCGTGGTACATCTGAGCTAATATCGATGTAATTTGAGGCTGGAAAAGAAAAGAACAAATGGATCAGTATGTTGGTTGTTTCCAAAATGACATTAGGTAGATAGAGATTTGAAAATGACTTCCAGGCAATGTTATAAATCTCACCATATCAAGATTAGGATATTGGGCTGTAACCTTGCTCTTTTTGGCATTGCAATATAGAAAAAATGTACCAAGAGGACGACGAGGGCATTCAGGATGCTTTGGAAGTTTAGCCTTTCCTTTGTAGAAACTGACCCATGGTTTGTGAACCCATATGCGAGCGTCAGCTATGATCTCACTCAAGAGACGGAAATGCCTGATTCTCTTATGAACTTCCATCCATACTGCCTTACATTCAGCAGGAGAATAATCGTTGAATGCGACCTGCATAAAAACATGATAAAATCAAATGGGGGAAAGATTCCTTAATGAAAATAACCCAATAAGAGGAATAAAGAGAAAAAGGCAGTACCGCGTCCCAATCCAGATTTTCAATCCGAGTAGAATGAACAGACTTATCATTAGGAGGAATGTTAGCCTCAATCTTGTTGAACAACTCTATCAGATCTTCTTGTGGCCACCCAATTCCATAGTTATCAGCCTTTGATAGAGTAGAATGAGTCTCAGGCTTGACAGAGGCTTTGTTGTCGTCCTCCTGTCTTTCTTCAGGATCATCATCTTCATAATCGTCATCATCATCATCATCAGACAATCTTTTCTCAACGACTTCTACAGGATACTCTGCAAAATATTTTGTAAAAGGAGGGCATTAATTGTTAAATAATTCAGTGTTATATCCAAGATGGTAAAGAACACTGGAATTAAAAAAGAGGGTGGTGTGAAGAATGAATCACTACAAACCTTTGCTCTTTTTTGACTTCTTTTTTACTTCAGGCTTTTCATATACATCGTCCTTACGCCTCTTCTTTGGCCCATCTTCTTCAGCAGTGACTGCTGACCTCTTCTTTTGTACCATTGTCACAGGAAAATTGGAACAGCTGAGGAAGAAAAGTTCATCACCATTCATGAGAAAAACAAAAGTGGTCAGATAATTTGGGTTCAGTTCTCTTAAAATAAAACTATGCTGGGCACAGAGGTATGGTTGTTGGTTCCAAACACATCATACAGCCAGACAAAACATAGAACCACGATCAGGAACTTACAATCTGAAAATCTTTCAAATTATTCGAAACAAAACCCAAAACTGAAATGAGAGAAGACCCTTGGGGCACAAACTAGGGACTCCAGAAGACTGCTCCAGAATCGCCAGGCCGGTATGCATTTAACGAAATAATCAGAGTTAAAACTTGTGTATCATCTGAATTTATAGTCCACTTGGACGGAGAATAAGCTGACTTTTAGGGGATATGATGGCCAGCATAATTATCGCTGTTCTGAAGTCCACAAAAGGACCGAAGAATTCAGGCAAACGCGGGGAGCGGATGGCCGCCGCAACCCAAAACCCAACCCGATGCTGCACACAAATTTTGAGAGACTTCGGGTTAGCGGATCCATACCTTTGCTACTGCTGAGCAGTAGCTGGACTAGAAAACTAGAATTGAAAGACGGTATAATCGTTGTCCAAACCGCACGCACTGCCAAGAAATTTACAAGAGCGCGTCGAGGTAAAATTGTGAAAATCAAGTCGGCGGGAGGCGGGACGTCGGGGACGAAGAGCATGCGTGCAGAGTGCACCACACACACACACACACACACACACACTGCTTCGCCGTGCCGCGCCGCGCCGTGCCGAGGAGACGAGACGGGCGCATTGCTCAACTAGACGAAAATGTCATGGAAGCTTACTAAAAACGCGCCTCTTTAAGCTTAACAGATCAGTTCAACTCCTTACCCGCTGTGCCAAAATCTCAAATCGTGGTCGTAGCAAAATCACAAATTCGGCCTCCAAAGCCAAAAGCAAGCATTGCGCGATTTCCGTTGTTTTATTTTTTCAAAGCTGAAAACCTTTGAAAAAAACAAAACAAGAAATACATCTCAAACAAATTACTGTACAGACTTACCGGTGAGAACCTTGGTGAAATAAAGGGAAACCTCTTGATTTAACACGTCTATAAAAGATTTGAATGGAGTCACTTAATCCATTATTAGTGAAAACAAACGTAAGTCAAGTTGTCTGTTGGTACTCAAGTAAACAGAGAATGCTGGGCGGGATATTCAAAGAGGGCAGTTCAAGTGGCCACTGGAAAGCCTTTCCAGCACTGGGCATACCTTATCTTTTTGGATAAGATAGATGTCACAGTAACTTAACTAAGTTTTTATAGTTCATGAGCAAATTAAATTTGAGAAGCGCTTTGGTTGCCTTCGCATGGTTGAGCAAGCTAGGCTAAGCTAGGCTAAGCTAGCGACATCCGTGAAGGGAAAGGGCGGGGTGGGGACCCGATGGGTTGCTGCCCAGTCTGCAGCTGTTCAGTTCAGGTGTCATTTCGGATCACGCATAGCTGGAGGGAAGTCAACGGGGACGAAAAGAAGACCAGAGTACAACTCCCTCCTCCCTCAGCATTCATCAAACCGGTTTACGTCGACAGAAAGAAGATACAGCATCTGTTTTAACATTTTTATTTGTGTTTACAACAAGTTACAGAGGATTGGCATTAACATTAGATAAAGCAGACAATGTATATAATGTATATATGTAAACTCATACATATATTATTATAAAGTATTATCCAGGAATGAAACATATAGGCAGAGCCTTCAAATACCTTAATACGCTGTGAAAAAGCACAGTTAGCAAATTGTTACTACATTATTCCAAAACTAATAAATAATGATATATTGATTAGGAACTTGACAAAAGAGTCAACATCTAAATTTTGATAAATTTTCACATTTTGTTTCACAGATTCCTGACGTTAGTCATTTTATGTATTTACCATAAAACAAATTTTAGTACCTACATCTTAGTTTAACTTACGTTGTGATATAGGCTATGTTATAAAACCTCACTATATGAAAGGAAAAAAGAAATAAAGAAACAAAGAAAAATAATGATTTCACAAATTAGAAGAACGTAAAGGAATATCAAATGAGTTATACAATGAAATTTGAGGTCCAATTCAAAGCAATGTTGGCTTGTTTTGGACCTGAATTGTCACCAACTCATTGTTTTAGATTAAATTTGGGGCAGTTAATGGCAATCATTCTTTGCAACATTTCTGTATCCTAATCTCTATGCTAGACTTCTAGAAACTTTGTCACCAACACACTGCTTCCTTCCAAAATCAGGGCAGCTGAGGCAAGGAAGTTGTATCTGCTTTTCTACGTTCAGTCCTACAGTATTTACTAGCCTATGTATGCGTCTACATATGTCCCCTGCACAATTACCATAGCAAGTGCAATCACATCAGCATTGCCTGGCAAAAGCCATCGGTCACGGCTATAAGCTATAGTGCAGGAATTCAGGGAATCTGTCAACCTACATGAAGCAGTTTTGCATATCATTCTAGGTGGCACTACTGCCATGTGGTGGGACGAAACCCGAAAAACACACCATTATCTAATTCAGGGCACACAAAATAAGAAAAAAAAACGGTATCCAGTAAATATTTATACCACATGAGATGGAAAGAATAGTAGACTACAACAGCTACTTGATAAAAGGAGTTAAAAACCTATTTCATGTTGTGCACAGCAAAAGCTTTTTGGCTCTTGCCTGAACTCCATGAGCACAAGCTTACACACATTTTTGCTAAAGAGGGATGAATGTATTGGAAAAAAAACAACTGAACAGTTACAAAAGAAAGAGCGATGGGAGGGAGGTGAAAATCACTTGAGAAGCCAAGACAAAAGACAATAAAAATTCTGAATCAAAGACAAAAACACACAGAGTCTTACTTGACATAAAGAAAGACTTTTTGATTCTAAATAACAAATAGAAAACAAAAGAATCTTACCCTCACCTCAATTACTTTTACGAAGCACAAGTTAAGTCTCAAGGCAACATCGGTCATAGTTCTAAGTAGCTGATACTGAGTGGACCAAAAGAAACAGACAAATAAACCAAGAACAAAAAAATCTCTATCAAAAGTCTTTAATTTTATTAGTTTATAACTTAATTCCTTAATGAAACTCGTTTGGAGAGAGGTCGAGGGGTTTCTTATTAATGGAAGGAGAAATTTCCAATTCTCTGCATACTTGTTGTGAATCTTCAGCTTAACCCAATCCAATACTGAAGAGTGATCAGTGCAAGAAACAGTGCATTGCGAACTCTTGTGCCCAGAAAAATCAAAACTAAGAAGATAGACAGAAAAGCAAGAGGAAAACCAGAATAGTCAACCTATGACAAGATGACGTCTCAAATATATAGATGTCATCCCAGGCAGTAGCCACACCTTATAAAGAGAGAGACAAAAAGATAGTAAAAAGATATACAGTAGTGGAACGAGTCAAGCATGAAATAAGTATAGTTGCCTTTTCATAACTACTTAAATATATATAAAATTCAATCATATATTTTATATACAAATTTATTTGAAAACTCCACATAGAGATTTGTCTTCCTCAAAAAAATCTTTCTTCCCCTGTTTTTACACTATCCTGCAAAAGTGCTCCTTCCATCATAAGGACCTCATTCAAAAAATTTCAGAGCATCTGAGGAGACATAAGTTCCTGGGTTGCAATGATCGGCAGCTTTATGACTTCATTGATATTTAGAAAGAAGGAACTTGCTTGTATACCAGAAAAGTCTAGATTTGAGGAAGAAACAAAACTATTTAACCAGTAACAAAAGAAAAATAACACAAAAATTCACCATTTGATTTGATTTGTCAAGCCCAACCAAGAAAACAGACAACAAATAAACACACAATAAAACTTACACTCTGACACAATATTAAAATAAAAAGGAAGAAATTTTCCACTATTAAACACTTTATGCATAGAATTTATAACGAATTTAGGAAGAAGATGAAAACTTGAAGAAAAGCACATGGCAAATTATTCCACTTGAGAACCAAAGAGACAGCGGAGACACAAGAAATACCATACACACAGAAACGGTTCTGTCTGTTTCAAGATACATAGCTATGTTATATTTGAAAAGGTGCAATGGCTTCTCCTCGAATCTGTGTATCAGCTCTGATATCTTCTGTAAGATGCCAGAGGATTGTGAAATAATTAAATTCATGTAGCAAACTCAACTCACAAATTTCGTAATACTGATGACATACTTGTACTTTCCCAAGAAAAAAATAGCTTAATGTGCAGTCTAAAGGCCATGCTACTGAGTACCAATCATAAACAGCTCACAGCAATCATGACTATGTTTGTTTGATATGGAATGCCAAAATGTAGCCAACGAAAATAAATTTAAGAAATATCGTTAGAAATTCAGTTATCTTATTGGTACATTACAGGTACCAAACCTCCCGCAGACTTTTATCACTTTAACAATGGTCCATGATTGTTATCAATACTAACACTACCACAATAGGGTTTGATGTGAATAATGTAGTATTGGAACAATGAGACTAAAATACCTTAATTTCTACTAATCAAAATGCACATCTCATGGCCTGGCTCGGATAGTCCACTTTTGTTAAACAATAACAGGCCTCAAGTCCAGTATCAGCTCAATCATGGAACTTGACACTGGATTGTGTTGCTTTTATTAAAATTTTCTTTGGAGAGACATGGTCGCTCCACAACAAAGCCTGCAAGTCGATTGAGAGGAAACAAAACAAAGCGCACTAGAGGTGTCTAAATGTTCTCCACCAGGCCAGTATTCCCAGTTATGCATTTTGAAATTTACATTTTCACATAAAACTACACAAATTTTGTGAATTTCATCAGGTAGAATGTTAAATGGCACATTTTCTCCACATTATCAAGGCCATACTATGGATAATGGGGAGAGTGGAAAATACTTTGTACATTATCTTCAGATGTTAAATATAACTCCAGGCTAGCATGATGGATGTGCCACATATGTATGAATAAACACTTCCAGAAATATTTACACATACATATGTGAGTTTGCAATTCATCAAATACAGTCTTGTGAAAAATTTCTCACACATCCAAACCCAAAACAAACATGTGATTTCTAAAATAACGTTCATTGAGCCATTTTGAGAGAGTAGGTTTTGGTCCAAAGTATAAAGTGCTAATTTCATTGGCACAAATAATTAAGCCTTGGAGAGAGGCAAGGAAAAAGCACCACACCCTCTCAAAATAGACTCAAGTGAATTCGCAAAATTCAACAAACATAAACTCATACACGCATATGCAGAAAGTAGCATGTAACATAATATACACATAAAGCTATTGAAAAATAAAATAAAGACAATGGTTGCATTCATCAGTTACTGATAATGAACAGGAATAAGTACATTCTGGTAAATTATATACATCATCAGATGCTAAGCAAACCGTGCAATGTCTCAAACCGACTCCACATTAATCTCTCTTTTGCAGGAACCTAAATGAGAATTTTTATATACATGACCAAATGATGCATTCAAGTGATATGATGTACTTTGGGATCATCAGTCTGTATCAGTCTAGCAGCATGCCGTGATCAGAATAACAATTCAAAAACAAAAATTATCCGAAGAGAAATTAAAAGATTAAAATTTTAAGAAAAAATATTAAAAATTGAAACAATATTGATGCAGCAAGCATCTCGTAATAAGTTGCAGAAATAATTAATAGAAAATCGAAGGAAAATCCTAATACAATCTTTGAATACAGATAAATGTGAGAAAACGGTGGAATATTGATAAAGTACCTAATATGGTTGAATACTAACTTAGGTTAAGGTACATCACTTTCTTCATAAAAACTAGTATTTCACACATTACCACATCACCAAACAACCTCAACCTCAAAAGCATGGTCATATATCACTCACATACAGTGCAATCATCCTACAAATACTAATATAGATAAGAAGACAATATATTTGTGGTCTGTGAAGATAACTAAGCCACACATGAAAGTGTTATTGTAATTGGATATTAAAATACTGTTTGTAACAATAAAATGTCAATCACAATACTGAATTAAAAATGATAAAATTGATACATAGTACTTTGAAAAAGCATGGTCTTTGAACAGTATTACATTTAACACTTCAGCTCTGACCAAAGAAAAGGAAAATTAAACTGTAAGTCATATAGTACAATAAAGAGTAGCTTACTAACTTCACATCTCGCAAATATGAAGAATTCTGAGAAGTAATTACACATTTGGCATGTGACGATTGATAACTACTAACCATGTGGGTCATATCTCAAACATCATCCTTTGCTTGAACAGAGAACTAATAAAATGCAATTTTTCTGCATAAGGTCACTTGGAAGGCAGCAAAGTCAGTCTGATCTATAAACACAAACTAACAAATATGACGATTCAAGATATCTACTTACATCTAGCAGTGAATCAAAAGAAAAATTACATCACATTAAAGAGAAAATTTCCCCCCTTAGGACAATGGTAGCAGCGAGGGAGAATGCGAATGGGGGTTTTGTTGATGGGAAATGTGCGCATGGTGTGATGGGTGGGATGGGTGGGTAAGTTGCAATGGTTGTGGCAAATGGTGTTGGTTGTGTGCCAATTGACTCAAATGGTGATGCTGATGGTGATTCGCCTGCATTTGGTGATGGTGATGCTGGCTGCCAAGGTGAGCAGGCTGGCTGTATTGGTGGTGATGGTGGTGGTTGAAATGGGTCAAATGTTGAAGATGGTGATGCTGAGACTGCACCAAATGGTGTTGCATTTGGTGATGGTTGGTCTGCAGATGATGAGTCTGGTGGGGAAGAGGTGATGGTATGGGGCTCATTGGTGGTGGCGAGGATAGTTGAGAATGGGAGAGTGGTGTTGGTTGGGGCTGTGGAGTGCGAGCTGCGTGATGAGATAACTGTAGTGGTCTCATGTGCAGCGATGACTGATGCGCCTGCGATATAAGTTGATGTTGGCCTCCATGGATAGAGTCATTGCTTTCATTATTATGATTCGCAAGCAGAACTTGGCTGAGTTGGTGCTGTGCAGCCTGGACAGCAGCCTGTGATAGCTGAGCAGCTTGAGATAGCTGAGCAGCCTGTGATAACTGAGCTGCCTGTGATAACTGAGCCGCCTGAGCAGCTTGCTGGGCTGCTTGAGCAGCTTGCGCAGCTTGCATCGCTTGAGCAGCCTGTTGGCTAGCAGCTAAGTTGCTGGCCAAGTTCGATGCAAGATTGGAAGCCAGATTATTCGCAAGATTGGAAGCAATGTTGGCTGGAAGATTAGAGGATAAATTGTTTGCAAGGCTATTTGACAAATTTGCAGCCAAATTGCTTGACAGGCTAGAGGCTGATAGGTTTGAAGCAGCCAGGTTAGCTGCAGAGAGATTTGCAGCAGACAAATTTGCAGCAGACATGTTCAAGTTTGCTGACAAATTAGCTGATAAACTGGCAGCAGAGAGGTTGGCGGCAGAAAGACCAACCGATAAGTTGCTTGCAGATAAGTTGGCAGCTGAGAGATTGGCTGCTGACAAGTCTGCAGCAGAAAGACCAGGAGATGGGAGATTCGAAGCTGACAGGCCAGAGAGATTGGCTGACATGGTAGCTGATTGATTTCCTTGGCTGCCTAAAGCTGCAGCATGTACTTGATTCATGTTAGTGTTGGTATTGTTTCGCCGATTGCCAGGGCCTGGTTGATTGCCTTGATTCTTTGCACTGCATAAACCATTGTACACCCTCTTGTGTTTAACTAGATTACTCGAGCACGAGAACCGTCGGCCACATCCCTTGCAAGAATAAGGCTGGATTCCAGTGTGCACTGCGCTGTGAGTGACAAGTGACTCACGGTAGGGGAAACCTTCTCCACATATTTTACACTTGAATGGGCGCTCTCCAGTGTGCTTGACTTCATGGCGCTTGACTTCTCCCTTAGCTCGGAAAGCCTTCCCGCAGAACCTTAAATAATATTAAGAGATAGTAATTAGAAAACATTTCATGACAAGTTAGGAATAAGAATAGATAGTACAAATAATGCTCCAAACATCAGCATGATAATGACTTTGGACCAACATTAGATTGAACTCTTGTTTCCTACCTGCACAGGAATGATTTCTGTCCAGTGTGTATGAGGAGATGAGTACCAAGGCTTCCACGGCTTGCAAAGCCTTTCCCACAAATAGTGCATGGGAATTGAGGCTGAGTGCCACATTGGCTTTCCACATGAATCTGGTAATCAAAGCATACAGTGGATAAACCTGATGTTGACAACAAAAGTACAAAAAAGCGACCAGTTAACTCATACCACAAATGTAGGTTTCCGTTCAAATTGCTTGCCACAGCGGTGACAGGTGAAAGGATCTGTCTTTTCCTTAGGCATATGCTTGGACTTCATATGATTCATGAGATACTCCTTGGTTCCAAAGAGTTTGTTGCATATCTCACAGGAGAAGTTTCCTTCACCATGCTCCTTTAATTTGTGCCGAGCCAATGCTTTGGTATTGTGGAACATCCGTCTGGAAAAATTAAAACTTGGTTAAATACGGTACTAACAATTTTCGATCCACAAATAGATATAATTTAAAAACTTACGGGCATGCTTCACACTGCACTGTTCCAACATCACTTGCTCCATGGCTTGCCTCATGGTTCAACAAGCTCATTTCATTTATGTACTGCTTGGGACAAAAACGACAGGTCATGAGTGATTTCTTCCCACCATGATCACTGTGTGTATGATCCATATGGCGTTTCAAATTTTCTGGAGAGCCAAACTCCCGGTTGCACAGGAGACAGCAGGAGTCTTTTTCGGTTAATTTCTCCTTCATATCTTCAGCAGTATGATTAGCAATATGAGCAGCCAGCCGAGACTTGAATCTGAGGCACAGAAACACAAAGTTTAAAAGATAAGATAAAACAAGATGAAAAATGTGAAATAAAAAGTAAGAAACACTAACCGCAGGTCTTTCCCGCAAACACCACAAATGCAAGGTTCTTTGGGCTTCTTTCTCTCTCGTTTCTTCCTGACTTCCCCATCGGGCCCAATCTCACCCCAATCGGTGCCCTCCATTTCACTTTTCTTCTTACGGCCTCGCTTTTTCTTTATCTTAACTTCTCCCTCAATCATGGGCTTATCACTACCATCACCTTGATCATTGTCATTGGACTCATTTAGGTCATCATCACCATCGCCACCTTCTCGGTCATCTTCATCATCTAAGGGCTCTTCTTTCACCTCTTCTAAGCGCATTTCATCCTCACTAACACAATCAAAGAAAGAATCCTTATCACAGTCAGTATCATCATCCTCTGAGCTTGAAACAGTGTAAGGACTCTTCTGCTTGTTCTTCTTCTTTTTCCTTTTCTTCTTCTTCTCATCTTTATGCATCTTGGCATGTCTAACAAGGTGTGACTTAAACTTGAGATCTTTGCCGCAGGTTGGGCAAGTGAATTTACCTTTAGCATTCTTTTCTTTGTCTGCCCTTCTGTTAACAGTTTTAGATCCCTTAGGTCTTCCTCGTTTTCTCTTTACCGGTACTTCTGGTGGATTCTCATTTCCACTACCTTCTTCAAGTTCTACTTTTACAGGTAGGGGATCTGCTCCTTTTTCATTATCAGATTCATCCATTGCCCACCAAAAGTTGTCATCATCATCACTGTCAAACCTGTCTCTGAATGGCTTGTCATTGTTGGCAGCATTAAAGGAACTCGCATCAAGAGGTGAGGGGGAGTTTCGTTCATCCATGGTAGACTTGGACATATTACCATTAGAGCCTGAGCTTGTATTGGCATCAGTATTGTTGGCTGAACTCTCCTCAGAATCTTCATCTTCTGGTTCTGTTTTGACAGCAATGAGGCCTGAACAGAAAAGGTTAAAAATAAATAAGACCCCATGACAACAAAGCTACAGTACAAAAGCAAAGTAGAAAATCATACCAGAGTCATGGTTCTGCTGGTCTTGAGGGGGTGGTGGTGGTTCAGGAGGCTGCTGGTGCCCTGAGCCCCCTCCGCCTCCAGATCCACACCCAGATGAACCTGAGTATGATGTTGATGAAGAAGACTGTTGCTGTTGGCCTTGTTGCTGTTGTTGTTGTTGCTGCTGCTGTTGTTGCTGCTGCTGCTGACCTTCTGCATCTACAGGTTGCTGATTCCACATTTGGTTCGTGCTGCTAGCAGGATTTACCCCCGGAAAGGCAGGTCCATTCAAGTAACCTAAAAAGTTTAGATGATCCTCAGTGCCAGTATGGTCATGACTTGAAACAAACTGCTGCTGATAAACAGAGTTGCTCTGGTCAAGAGATGCCAATGGAGCCTGCTGCAACTCTGCAGTTACATCTCGCTTCCACTTGGAACGGCGTTGAGTAAAGTTTGTTGATGATTGCTCTTCATTATGAACTTCAGCCAGCTCATTAGGTTTTTCCTAAACATGAAAGAGATGAGATGAGATTACGAAATTCAGTAAAAATGTTGGTGAGAGAATGCACGTAATTAAACACTCCAAAATTTTGCTTTGAGTAAAACAGACCTTGGCAAACACTTTAGCAAGATGAGCCTGTGTTTTGTTATGCTTCAATAGGTTCCCAACACATGAGAAACCAACATTGCAAACATCACATGGGTAAGGACGAACACCAGTGTGAGTCGTCAAATGCGTCGTCAGACTAACAGCATGGGCAAAAGCTTTGCCACACACATTACACACATATGGTTTCTCTCCAGTATGGCTGCGCTCATGCACCTTCTTTTGAGCCTAGGTTCAAAATAAAGGAATTAAACACAAGGGTACAATGGATGGTAGGGTACTTCAAAGCAGCATTACTATACTTACCTTAGATTGGTAACTGGCACCACAGTAGCGGCATAGAAATGCTCTCTCTCCGGTGTGAGTTAACATGTGAGACGACAAGGTGCTTTGGCATGAAAACTTCTTCCCACATGTTGAACACACAAACTTTGGTTCAGCTCCACAGTGAACTTCAATATGATTCTGTTATTATGAGAGAGCATTATTGGAAGATGTTTCAAAAATAAACTTTCATCAAAGAGTACATTAACAAAATAAATTGAATACAAAATCTAACCTGAAGATCTGGTTTGGATGCAAAACTTTTGCCACATTGACTGCAACAAAACATGTCCGATTCTGGGCGTTCATCAAGTAACTGTTTACCATCCCAATATTTCCCATGATGGTCCACAGCAACGTGAATTTCTAAGCGCTCAGGTTTGGGGAAGGACTGGGTGCAAATATGGCACTTCCAAATGTAGTGTTCGTCCTGCTTGTGCTGTTGAACAAGGATAAATGTTACTAACATTAAGACTTACTTCCAAAAACAAACTTTTCTTCAAAACAAAGAAAATGTAGCTTACCTTGTCTCGCAGCTCCCTGGAGGGGAAAATAGTATTGCATGCTCGGCAACGGAAAATCATTCTTCCCTCATGAGCTGCCTCATGACGTTGCAAGTTAAAAAGCTTTGAATACTTTTTTCCACACACTTTACATTGAAGAAGTGTGCCCAAGTTGTTGCTTAGAGATGGATCATCATTAGAAACATCATTTTCATCTTCACTCTCACTGCTTTCATCAGTTGACCACTGATTCGTATCAACATCAAAGGGATTCCCATCTTCCGACATCTTATTCTCATCATCATCACCATCACCTTCGTCATCTTCTTCACTGCTATCGGAGTCATCCATATCATTGGCAAAAGGAAAATCATTGCTGAATTCTGCTGAGGGAGCACTAACGTTCCCACCTGTGCCCAAGACATCAGGTGTAACGCTCTTCAGAACACTCGAAGCACTCTCGTCAGCAGCCTCATTTCCCTCTTCATCGTCATCTTCGTCATCTTCATCATCAACTCCAATGTCTTCTCCTCCCAGGTGTTCATTTTCACCCAGGTTCAAATCAAGTGAGGCGCCGAGGAGATCTTGGCCGCTGGTCATGTCCTTGTTGAAGCGAGCGGCTAGCTCGCGGGCTTCAGACACTAGTCCAGCCCACTTGGATCCCATGCCATAATCGTATTCCTGGTCGACTTTGCGGAAATTATTAGTGGAATCGCCTTTGTGATGGGCAATCTCCATTATAGAAACCGGAGCGATGCTCATGTCGGTGGTTGGAGGCAATTTCATGGTTCAAACTGCTACTTCATTTTAGGCCGCACCTCTGGATCTAGGTTAGTCACCACAACTACAATAGGCCTCTTGGTCTAGGAGGGCTTGAAGCCTAGCCTAGGCCACAGTAGCTGGACGGCCAAACCGCCCCGCACTCCTACACACGGCCTGGAACCATCTTATTCCTGGTTCAGCAGGGTTTGTTGATGTTCACAATGTCGGTGTTGATGTTTTAAAATAAGGAAAAAACACTGAAAGCTTCCCCGCACAATTATCAGTCGCGCAGCTTTTAGCACGGAGGAAACTTCATGATGCTCTCTTCCACACTCAACGAAGATCCCATTGTTCCACCATCACGAATCAAATACACGAGCACAGTTTATAAACAAAGTCAAAAGCACAGCACCCTTCGGAACTGGCTTAAAAGGTTATTTCCCCACTTATGACTGAATACTAAAATTTATTTTAATTCTGACGTTTAATGTTCGGGCGTCTCCACAGCTTTCGAAAAGGCAGTGTAAAAAAGAACAAAACACAAGGAAAGTCCGTCTCCGTCTGCAAACCTGGCGATGAAACGCCCACTACGGAATGTCCTGGGACCGCAAATCGTTGGTGCAAAGCCACAAATATCGCTTCAGACAACTAAAGGGTATCCTATTTCACAGCAGGGCGCACCCATACCTCTATTATTGATTCAGTACCTTGTACCTTCACGTGTACGCCCGATGGTGTATGTTGGGTTGCCTGCGAGCACGGCGCTGCGCGCAGCCTCTAAATGTGAATTCTGCCCCTCTAGGACGGTTCCACGATTTTTCATCGTGACTAGGAACTATATCAGAATTTTTTCGACATTTAAGATGGATCTGTAAAATTTCAGAGCCGTGCATTTGTGAACTGAGAAAATGTATGGGTGGGAAAAAAAAAACTCATCCTGTGTGACGTCATTGCCACTTCCGCTTCTCCGACTCAGCGCCAAATTCAAATGTTCTGATGCACAGGACTCTGGATAGCACCAGCACGATGTTCTATGCATCGTGGAATTTAGCCATCGCCTTTTTTTGTCACCGAGAATGGATGAACTACTGAGAATCGACTTAATAATTGACTTGTTTGAAAAGCTTAATGCTGTTGCTGACTTTTCTTTTCATTTGTGTAGATCATGTTGTTCTGCGGTTCAGGCTGTCTTGTAAATGAAGGAGCAGGAGCAGGAAGGACAAATAAAGAATCTTTTTTAAAATTTCCCATTTATTTAATCATTTATTTTAAAACTTTTATTTTAAAAAAAACGGTAGTTATTTTTGGCAAAAAGATACAATTTAATGCTTCAGCCAACCTTTTATCAATGTGGAAAACAACAAACACTTGAGAGGTAAATTGTTGGCTTGTGCATGCATGTTCTTTAAAAGGAACAGAGTGCGTTTTTTTTTTGTTGCTTTTTTAAAAATCCAATCCCTACTCAAATCTAACAGCATTCATACAACATTGTGACTAGACATCATAGCTGCCCTTCAAGAGGTTTCATCGCGTTTGCGTGTTAGGACAGTTATGAGGACAGAACACGCGAAAGAGTATAAAAGATAGTGTTTGACAAAGAAAACAAATTACATAAAGAAATGAGCCACATAGTCTAAAAAACCAGTAAACAGAAGTGAAGATAAGGTTAATGAAGGGAGGAAGTGTGAACAGAAATTGTATCTTAATCATGAAGTATGTCACACATTAATTTGTCTTTTGTTTTTGTTTTTATACACAAAGGCAATACCCTCATGAACCAAAAAAAACAAAACCAGAAAGAAACCCTTATTCACAGCTATACAATAATACTGTAAATCATACAATTTGCAGTTGGTCAAACAGTGAAACATGATAACGGTAATAATAAAGATCAATCTGCGAATAACACCCTAAAATATACAAGACAAAATATGCATCTATTATTAGCATGGTTCGTTCCCAAAGAAACAGTACAACAAAGAAATGATCTCCCAAGTTCCATTTCCAAAACCAATGGGGATAGAAAAATACAATGGTAATCAATTTAAATCATATTTTTGAGCGAACTTGATCAACAAAGAAGAAATTGCTAGCCATCTGTCACCAATAATGTTATAATCAACGCTATCATAGATTTTTCATTGTTGTGATGGATAGAAACACCTGCTAAAACTGTAAACTGAACAACAAAACTTGTTAACACGGCGAGAGTAGTCAATCAAGGCAAAAGTACATACATCAAAACTGATTCAGAAAAGAATGGAACAGTTGTTACTCAAGAAGTTTCAAATAAATAATCTATAAGGAAGTATCTAGAGCCACATATTGAAACATATTTGGTTAACACCTTAGTGGGAGCTATTCATATAATAAATTATACCTGACTCTACACTCCTTTAGTTGGTAACAATCCAAAAGCTCATCATTTGATATTGTAATCTATTGAAATTTTGTCGTTTGAAAGAGAGTGGTGAGAAGAATAAAATTACCTTAAATTTGCTTAACATAAGGGGAAATTTTTTTCTTCTTCCTTAAATTCATGCTTTTACAGTTAACACATACCAAAACCTTCAGTCTTTCCAAAATTCAGATCACTAAGGGTGATTCTTTCAATAGAGCTGGAGAACACACACACCTGATATTCAGTTGGTTAAATTTGATCAAGACGATAAAAACATCAGGAATTTCCAAACAGAAAAAGAACCAGCTATGAGATATTTAAGGTAATGGAACTCTGAAACACCACCCACAAAGGAAAAGTTTAAAGACAAAGGATTATGGTCCATACGAAAAGTGCTGTAGTTTGTTATCACTTCAGAAAGCTTAGCAAAATGAATTGAGTGCTTTTGAGCTATTTTTTGCCAACTTAAAAATAGGAATATAGTAGTTTGTTCACGCTCAGTACCATTTCCAAAACAGCAGCTTATCGCTTCAAACTAGGTCAAGTCTTGTCATAGAAGAAAAAAAAAGGCGGAGCTTGCCAGCTGACCGGCAGCTGAGAAAGAACGAGTAAAACAATTAACAGATTTTTTGGTTTATATCTTCAAGGAAAACATTTTAAAATTGCAACACTACACTTTATTCAGTAGTGAATGAATCACATAGCTTACCCAGAACTCGTTCTATAGAATACTAACTTTATATCACAAATGTATTCATAGGAAAACCTGAAGAACATGATAGCTCCGGTCAATGGGATACATGCAACAACACAACCAAATGATTTCTCTAGTTAATCAAAAGGTATAATTAATTTCTTAAGTCACTAAAAGAAATTGTCCTTGCTGTTTATTAAGAGTGTTGCTGCATGCCTCTCATTGTGCTGAGTTACAATGGTAAAATTAATATGCCAATCTGTATATATTTATTGCAATATCAGAGGAGATATGTGCATTTTCTGAGATGATTGAATAAAATACATTTCATGATTCCTGCTCTAAAATAAGGCAAGCATAACAACAGTCGTTTGATATGCACAGTTTTGTTGAGTATAAAAAGTTAATAGTAACAATGCACAATGACACCACCATTTCCAGATTGGGTGCCACAATTAGGGCCTTTATTTACAACGGTTCATTACATTTCATTAATTGATGGGAGCTGTGCTGGAAGCAGATGCAAGGTTAGTATATCAAATATCAAGCCAACATTACATATACTGGAAGTGGATGGAGCTTACAAGCTTACATTGGATAGTCAATAGGCAAATGTTGTGGCTTAACTTGAAACATGTAATTGACTTTCACAAATCTCATCAGTGTCTATGGGCCACACTCTGAGTTGCTTATTGATCAGATTTGCAGACATGGGGTTTCATCATAACTCACAGAAATTGATATACAAACAGGTTATACGTACTGGATACACATACTAAAAGAGCCACAGCATGTCTCACACAGCACCCATCAGTCAAAACCCTTAAATTTGTTAAAAACTACCAAAAATGTTAAAATATATCAATCTTATTTTACACTATATAATCTACACACTTTCTTGACTTCACTTGCAAGAAGGTTTTTAGTCAGAGATACTTACTCTGATGCAGTTCATTCTTTGTACACCATGGTCACTAATAAATAGGTTGAAATTTTTAATTTCATTGTCCGTTTGTTTGCTGCTTCCAGCGAGAGTTCTCAACACGCCTCTGCCGCTGCCGGCTCCGCGCCTCCCCGCTTTCTTTAAAATGTCGCCAATATTTTGCCCCACTCAATCCACACCTCAACCATATACCTGAGTCATGGTCAGAGCATCATAAGGGTGTAAAATTTTAAGATGTTCTGAATCACATTCTATTCAATTATCATACACACACTGTTGACAATTGACCCAGGACGTACGGCATGTTAAAGAGTGGCACATGGCAATTCTTTGTGATCACCAAATTTTGCTACAGAAACAGTCTGCAGAGACCCACAGAAGGAAAGTAATCAGCCTCTCACCCTATCTAAAATTACCATTGTACAGCTATATGTACAAGCAATAAAAATTTTACAATATTGGCGGGAAATTTCTTTTTAAGGTGACTATAAAAAGAGTTAATTGATCTTGTTGATTTTTTTCCCTTGTTCATCTTAACAAATTTAGTAACAACATAAAATAACTTATAATACATTTAGAGATATCACATTTGTCTACAGTGAGAGGATGACTCCTTTCCTTTATAGCTAGGTAAGTGTTTGATTCTAACAGCTTCAGTCTCAAATATTAAGTGGGGATGAGCAATGCTCCAAAGTTGAGCTACATAGTTTTAACTCAGAATTGACAAGTAATAGGCTCAGTAAGAAGTGTCAGATAAACAACAATCAATGTCAAGACAGGCTCTAATGAATGAGGACACACAGTAGCTACCTAAATTACTTTGAACACAATGCTGGCACTAATTTGGATCACTTTGTTGAGTTATTGATAGTGTAGGTAGATAAACTCTTGAGTGGTAACTGAAGATTAGGCTCAAGGAATAACCAAACATCAGAGTTTACCTTCCTCTGAGCCTGTGAGAATAGGTTCGTAACATTGACATTTCTTAACTTAACAAAAAGGGAAGCTGTGGGTCTCTTGCCATTCTCGACTCTTTCTATAGCCGTAATCTGCCAGATAGTACTAAGACACGACAAGGCCTAATGGGAACAAGGCCGACACGAAAGTGGGAGGTCACATCATAGCACAAGATCAGGCAGGGGCAAGGGGCGTGTTGATGCGATACACTAGGCCCTTCCTCCAGAGCCTTCCACGTCCCGGTGCACAATCTTGCGCTCCTTGTAGTAAATTTCTTCCGATTCTTTATCACATAGCAGCAGAACAACTCCACCAAAGAGGAATATGGCAGCTCCCCATCCAACACCATATGCCCATCCAAACTCCCATACTGTGCGATTTCCTGTAAAATTTAAGAGTAACAAGTTTTAAAAAAAATTAATTTAGAGAAAATAAGTTAAGGAAACAACAAATGTTACCACCTTAATGGTATACGTTTGACTTTACATACCCTGGTTGAGTTCGGCCGCAAAGCACACAGGGTAAACCACCAAAGCCACTAAAATGGACACCACTGAAATGAAAAAGTTAAGGCATACAGTACTATGCTTCATATTGTTGGGTCATTCGGTTTTCGAAAGGGAAACTCACGTGACAGAATCATGATGTAGACGGCCACCCGGTAGTACTTGTACTTGGTTCTGTGGTCGTTGGAGCGCAGCCCGAGTCCAGTCAGCAGCGTCGCGATGAGGTCCGTCACCAGGGTGAGGACGCACAGCGCGGCCGCCACTCGGATGTAGGCTGGAACGGCCACGACACACACATGTTGACTGTCTCTGTCTCTCTCGCACCCCTCCGGAACGCCCCAGGGGTGCGAGAGAGACAGAGCGACAAACCACGGTTCTGGGTAAGACACTTGCGAAAGGCAAGGCGTTTGGTGAACCACTCACCAACAGGTCGCGCCTGGTAGCAGTCCGGGGGGTCGGGGATGTTGAAGGGCAGCGGCGTGGGGGCGTGCTCGGCGATGCAGTGAACGAACAGCCCCTGCCGCCAGCCGGCCGACATGAGCCAGTCCGTGGACGCCAGCGCCATCAGCATGAGGGCGATCACGATGAGACCGCAGATGAAGGCGATCACCTGGAGGCAAACGGCAAGCAATCAGACTCCAGACCAGCCACTGGAACGGGTCAAGCAACCACTAGTCGCCACCCACCCCCTCCCGTTGGCCACGGCCTAAAGGGCCGAGCCCAGGGAGAAGCCTCGCCTCAATTTCCAAGATTCGTCTCGACAAGACGTTGAATGACAGACGAACACACTGTTAGGAATCAGCCTGGAGGGCAGAGGCACGCCGCCGAGGGGGAAGCGAGGCGAGCACACTGCCAGACTGCCAGCACGCAGAGCAGCCCCGATCAAGTTTCATGCGAAATATAAAACGGAGGCGATGCTCCGAACCGAAGCCCTCCAAAGCGAGTGGAGGAGCAGAGGGCGGCCGGGCCAGGGCCTTGCCGGGGCCGCGCCGGGGCGGGTCGGTCAATCTCAAACCGAATTATTTGGCTGGCTGGCTCTGCTGACTGGCCAATGGATCCAATTCCCAGCATCACCGCGCCACAACGCGCCACAACGCCAGGCCAGGCGGGGTCCATTTCACCCCATTTCGCCGCCTTGTACCGCCTGCCTGGTGCTCGCCTGCCTGGCCTGGTCAGGTGACACGGCCCGAGACCCACCCGGTCCTGGTCCCATCAATCCCTCTGCTCTCTCTCTCTCTCTCTCGCACCCTTAGCGTGCCCCAAGAGTGCGAGAGAGACAGAGACCTCCCGCTGGGAATTAGTCTGCTGGTCCGCGCGGCCTCGTTTCGGCAGGTGTCACCATGGTGCCAAGGGGGCGGGGGAGCAAAGCCTGGAGCAAAGCATACCGGTAACGGCAGGAGTAAAGCAACCCGCGGCACGCGGCTTGGGGTAGGTCAGGTGGCTCTCTCTCTCTCTCTCGCACCCTTTCGGAACGCCCCGCGAGTGCGAGAGAGACACAGCAGGGCGGCTCCCAATCACGGCAGCGAGCGCCACGGCCAGTTTTCCTCTTCCAGGCGAATGAGGGCGAGGGCGACCTCAACCGGGAAAGGGCAGCGGGGGCAGAGCGTGGCGGTGGTCCACTGTGCGGTGGCGGCGTGGCGCTGCACTGCTGCGTGCTGCACCCCGCCGGGCACCGCCGGGCCGCGGGGGCTGCAGCAACATCCGAAGGGCAGCACCCTTAAGAGAAAGGGAAGGGGGGGGGCGCCCTCAGGGAACACCCTCACCCCGTTGTCCTCGCCGCTCCTCTTCCCGTTCCGTCCCGGGCCGTTCCAGGCCAGGGTGGCCGCGGGGGGTCCCACCAAGGCAGCGCCAAGCAGCAGCGGGGCAGCCGGGCCGGGGAGAGGGGGGGATGGGAGAAATCAATATGAAGGGAGGAGGGGAGAGGCCCCAGACGTAAAGCCGGGACGGCCGGGACGGCCGGGACACAGGGAAGGGATAGGACAGGATAGGGCGGGCTGGCAGAGCTGGCCAAGCTGGCAGGCAAGCAGAAAGGAGGGCAAGCACACAGGCCGCGATAAATTCGCCGGTTTGGGGGGGGGGGCTGCGGGGGTTACTAGGGTACGGCGGGGGCTGCGCCGGGCTGCGCGATGAGCCGCACAGGGGCGCGGGGCCAGAGGGGCGCGGCCACGGCTCGGCTTGGCCGGGCTCGGCTGGCCGGCGCGGTCTTTTAGGACGCACCAGTTAATTACTGGTCGAAAGCTAAAAGCCGGGCTGGACGGTCAGGCGGCCTCAGGCCGTGCCGGTGCCCGCCACGCCGGCCACGCCGGCCATGCCCGTTGGGGCGTCCACTCCGTCGCCGCACCGCCCCGGGTTCACCGCACGCTCACGCACACCAACACACACGTGCACAGACTCAATGGGCCGCGTGAGGTGCGGGGGCGGATAGCGAATATTTTACTTCGCAGTGCATCGGCGCTTCTCGCGGCGCCGGCCCCTCCCTTAAGCGACGACGGAAGAGGGTGCAAGCACCGGCAACGCCACTGCAACGAGGACAAGGGGGCTGCGCAGCAAGAGCGACCGAGAAACCCGCCAGTAGACTGATTCCAAGAGTCGCTTTCGTCGCTCTGCCTCTCTCCCGCCTTATACCGGACGCCGCATGAGTGCGAGAGAGACAGAGCGACGAAAACGACTCTCGGAATCAGTCTGCAGCCAGACCCGCCCGACGCGCACGCCCTCGACCCGTTCTTTGATTTGGGACTGGCCAAATATCAGCGCCCCAGCTGTGACGCAGCCTCGGCTCGCCAACCGGCAGCCTCGCTCTGTCTCTGCCGCACTCGTGGAGCGTCCCGTCCCGTGCAGGTGCGAGAGAGACAGAGCGACAGTGCTCGGAATCAGCCCGCCCCATTTAGAGCGGCCGCGCCGCGCACCCTCCGCCACCGCACCACCGCCATTTCCAGAGCCGCGGCCAGCAGCCTGATTTCGAGAGTCGTTTCCGTCGCTCTGTCTCTCTCGCACCTACACGGAACACGCCATGAGTGCGAGAGGGACAGAGCGACGAAAGCGGCTCTCGGAGTCAGGCTGCTGCACGGCCGGGCCTCGCCGCCCGCGCGCACATTTCTCTCGCGGCCAGCAAAAAAGGGGCAAGAGAGAGAGAGGGAGGGACAGACAGAGGGATGGGGGAGGGGGAAGCGAGGAAGCTCTCGTGCGTTATCCCGCACTGCATACAAATCTGATTCATTTCCGCGTGGAGGGGGAGGGGGCACTCGCCACTTTACTGCCGAGGCGTGGCGGGGCCGGGCGGGGCGGCATGGGGCAGGACTGCAGCCCTTGGGCGCGCGCTCGCCAAGGAGGGATCGCCATTCAAATTTCAAGGCGGTAACGGCCAACGCCCGGGCTGCCAGGGCTGCCAGGGCGCGCCCCCAACCCTTCTTCGACCGGCCATCTGCGTTTTATGTCCATCGGCAGACGCCGTGCAGCCCGGCCCGGCCCGGCCCCGCCGGTGCAGCCTGCAGACTGATACCGAGAGCGTTTACGTCGCTCTGCCTCTCCCGCACTCGTGGGGTGTTCCGTGTGGGTGCGAGAGGGACAGAGCGACGAAAACGACTCTCGGAATCAGTCTGCTGCAGCGCGTCGCGAGTGCAGCCCTGCCGGGCCCCGCCCATCTGGACCCGTCCGGCGATAGCGTGGGCGTCTGCGCGCAGAGGCTTCCAAGTGCGGAAAACTCGGTGCGCAAAATGCAGTCTCGAGAGTCCCTTCCGCGCGGCGCCAGCGTTCCAGGCGCCATCCCGCGGGGATGTGCAACCAAGTTTGAAAGTAAAGTTTAGTCAGCCATCGCTCACCGTTGCCCAGTCAGCCACAGCAAGGATCAGGGCAACGCAGCAGCAGCCACCAGCGCCACGCCACAACGCACACAAAACCAAGACGAGGCAAAGCGAAAGGACTGCAGCAGGCCTCGGCCAGCCAGGCAAGCTGTTGCATGGCACGGGGGGAAGAGGCGGAGCCGAGGCCGTGGCAGTGCACCAGACCTGCAGTCGAGATAAAAACAAGACCTGGGCAGGGCAAACGGCTGCATCGGCATCGTCGCCACAGTGCGGCCACACCGGGCCACACCCACGCAGCAGCACGCCCCGGCGACACCGCCGAGCCTTGCCGGCCTTGCCACGCTCAACGCACACTGATCGCCACCTCTCTGAAATGGGACTCGAATCAAACGGGAGGCACGAGGCCCAAGGCGGTGGCCGAGGCCCCGGGCGGGGAGCAGGTCTCGCCTCGCCCTGCCTTTGATCACCGGGTGGGTAGTTGCCTCTGTCTCTGAGGGTGAGGGGGTGCTGCTTTTGGCCGCCGGGGCCGCGCCGCGCGTTGGAGAGCCCCGACAAGAGCTATGCAGACTGATTCCGCGAACCGTTTTCGTCGCTCTGTCTCTCTCGCCCCTCAACGGGAGGCCCCATGAGTGCGAGGGAGACAGACTGCTGAAGCCTTGAGGGGGCGCTGTTCCCCTCGAGCGAGTAGAGGGAGAAGGCGCCCGGCCGCGCCAGCAGACCGATTCCGGCGCTCTCTCCCGCACTCCCACGGAACCCGCCGCGAGTGCGACAGAGACCGCGGAGGCGCGCTGTTTGGAACCGCTGCGGAGTGTGGGTGTGTCCGTGTGAAAGAGGGCCTGCTGGGCGAGGCGGGGGTCGGGCCCGGTCGGGCCGGAGTGTCAAAGTTGGTCAGCAAAACACCGCCACCGCCGAGGCCGCCGCCGTGGGGGAGTGAGGGATGGACTCGGCCCTGCTTTCCCAAAGCAGCGACGCACAGTGGGCTGGAAGACCGGTGGAGGCGGGCAAAATTCCAGACGCGTCTTGAGCCCCAGCGTCACTAACAAGACGCGAACCGAACGTGCGACCCCACCAATGGATTCCTCGTTCGGAGACCAATCCATTGGTGGGGTCACACGTTCAGTTCGAGTCCCATTTAGCGACTCTGGAGCTCAAAACGCGTCTAGAATTTTGGCCGCCTCCACCGGTCTTCCGGCCCACTGTGCGACGCACCCCTCCCCCGCCCCGCCCCGCCACGCCACGCCACGCCACGCACCCGGGAGCGCCGTCGTCGTGACGTCTTCCTCCAGCAGGCCCGCAAGGCCCGCAGGCAGGTCGAAGTCAATTTCCGCGATATATGCCCGCCAGCCGCCGCCTAGCCAGGCCGCCTCGCCGCCCACACGGCCCCGCATGGCGCCCCGCGGCCCGCGGCCATAAAAGAGACCTACGGCCTGGCCGAGGCCTGGGCGGGGGGCGTGGGGCCGCCCCTCGCGCCCTGCTTGGTGGACCGCCGGACCGCACACCACGCCGGACCTGTCCATTTTTCACCCCGCTCCTCCAGGGGATGGCGCGGAGGCGGAAGCGGGGCGGGGCGGGGCGGGGCGGCATATTGGATTACATGATCTACTCGGTGGGGCGCGACGCGGCGGCCACGGCCACTGCGAGCACGGTGCGTCACGCGGGACGTGGCGACGGTAGCGACGGTAGCGACAGGGAAGGGGGACGCCGCCGCCGACGCCGCCCACACACACAAACGCATTCACACCGCGCCTCAGAGACAGGTCATCCTCGCTGCCGCGCGAACGACCGACGCCAGCCTGCAGCAGACGACACG